TTGTCCAGTTCTTTACTCTTAGCTTTCAAGTCGCTGAAAACACTAAAATGTAGTAAGTTCACCCAAAAGGTGTCTGACAAGGCTGTAGACTAAAGTAGAATCATTTCTGTAGAACAGAAGTGATTTTTTCAATGGTTCTTTTTAACAGTATTCTTACGTATTGGTGCCAAAAGCATTTCTGAAATAAATTTTTTGTATAATAAGAAATTTCAAAGTGGAGAACTGAAAGAATTACTGAAGTTCTTTCAAAGCTCATGCCTCCTGAATAAGCATGATGTGGCAAACATATTTCCATCATTGAGCCTGAGAAAATAAAAAGCAAGCATCAAATTGCTACAAAAACCACCTAATGCAGTTCCCAAGAACCACTGAAGTATTCCAATCTCAACAGTGCTTGCCATCACAGGGCCTTGATGTGGCTTTGCACCCTCTATCATGTAAGACTTATGAAGAACTGAATTTAAAGAGCTGTTCTGGCATTGCAGATGAAAGAAATCAAATACTGATTGATAAAAGTAGTTACATAAAGGAGGTTTCTGAAATCAGCACATGCCACTAAAAGTAGATGTGTAAAATAACTTATAATAATATGCATTAAATTTTTAAGAATTAATCTTCCTTTATCGCTGTGGAAAATTTTTACTGTTTCATTAAGTTGGCGCCAGTTTAAGGTACAAAGCACACCTACAAAATACATTACAAAAACCTTAGATCTCGCTGACAGCTTTCATTAGCGACAGAACAAGACGCGTGACATACCTCTTGAGGGTTTTCAACTACAGCCAATCCTACAAGTCCAGTGGTCTGCACAGAGAGCACAAACATACTTAGCATACCTAAGCATCCATTTCCACGCTGATCATTTTGTTTTGACTCCGCATACACCTGACTGGGGCCATTCCGAGGCACCAGCCGGGCGGCCCGCGACCCCAGGGTCGGGGAGGGCGAGTGCCGAGCGGGACTAGCTCGCCTCACCAAGCGGCTGCCGGGGCAGCGCCGGCGCCCCCGCCGCCCCACACCGCGGGCCCGCCGGCATCCGGGCCCTGCGCTGCTCTCGGCCCTTCCCTCGCGGGGTGCTCCGCTTGCTGTCACCCTGCCGCTCGGGCAACCCCTGCCCTCCCGCCAGAAAGGAAGCCCCCGCGCTGGAGCCGGGGCAGGACGCGGCCGAGGCCCCGGTACCGCCTCACCTTCCGCAGCGGCCCCGCCATGGCCCTCAGAGGACGCGGCGGAGGGCGCGGGGCTGCGCACGCGCCAGAGCGGCCCCGGTGGGCGGGGCCGGAACAGCGCGCGTGCGCGGGTGTCCTCGCTGGGGGGAGCCCGTCCCTGGAGTGGCGTCTGTAAAGGCGGATTCGTTACCCGGTGTTTCTCAGCTGGTGTGATCACTTAATAAAGCAAAAAAATATTGATAGAAAATAGAGAACTTATTTTAAGGGGCTTGATATAGAGACAATGGGAGAAAAAGAGCAGTGAAAAGACAGGTTAAATAATTGGTAGAGATGAACATGATGTTCATTTGAAGATCCAATTGTCCTATTAAGTCTTATTCTTATGCCTCGTTGCTACTTTAAAGTGTGAGTTTTGCATAGGGAGTAATTCTTTATAATAACTGTGTTGTAACTTTCTAAAAAAGCTATTAAGCTGTTAGTGTCCAAAGGAAGGCATTGAAGATGATGAAGGGCCTTGAAGGGAAGCCTTGTGAGGAGCGGCTGAGGGCACTTGGTCTGTTCAGTCTGGAGGAGACTGAGGGGAGACCTCATTGCAGTCACAATTTCCTTGTGAGGGGAGGAGGAGGGACAGGTGCTGATTTCTTCTCTGTGGTGACCAGTGACAGGACCCGAAGCAATGGCCTGACGTGTCAGGGTTGGTTTAGGCTGGACATTAGAAAGAGATTCTTCACCCAGAGAGTGGTTGGGCACTGGAACAGGCTCCCCAGGGAGGTGGTCACAGCACCAACCATGGCAGAGTTCAAGAAGTGTTTGGACGATACTCTCAGGCACTTGGTGTGACTCTTGGGGATGGTCCTGTGCAGGGCCTGGAGTTGGACTCGATGATCCTTGTGAGTCCCTTCCAATTCAGCACAGTCTGTGATGCTGTCGTTCTGTCATATTCTGGACAATTTTTTCTTTATAATTCCTTTGTCCTGCTGTTGAGCTCCTCTTTTCCATAACTGGTAAACAAACTGCTCACACTGAGTTTCAGAATACCATTGAGTTCTCCCTGAAACCCTGTCCTTTAATAAAACATGCAGTACCTCCAATCTGTAACTGAAGCAAAGTGATTGATACGGTTTATATCAAAATTCAGGGTTTTTGCTTCCCCACTTCTGTGTGTTCTTTGGGATTGCCTAGAGTTGGACTTCAGTGATCCTTGTGGGTCCCTTTCAATGCAGGATATTTTTGATTCTTTGGAAAGCTTTTGTTTAGAGATTTAAGCTTATAAGCTCCAATTGAAATATGCAAACTAGAGCTAAGGGTACTGTGCAGGTTTGCCTGCACCTTGTTTTTTTTAAGGACCATTAGTAAAGTTCCTGCAAGTTTAAAAATAAGAATATAGCGATATGATAAAAATCTGCAGTTTATTAAATATATATGCAATACTTACACAATGCATTTAATCATAGCAGTTTTATTGTAGTCATTAGGCCTATAATTTTACCTGACATCATTATTATAAATGGTTAATTACATATTTATATAGGATTTTATGCAATTGGTATTGGGGAAGTAGGTCAGTAGAAGAGAAAAACAGTGTTCCTAGGGTATTGACTGCAGCAACTATTTTCACCGCATTCTTTATTATTGGTTTTTTTTTCCCAGCTATTATTACTATAATTACAGAAATTTTTAGATTTATAAAATTGAAAAAGTGGAAAATATTTTTTTCCTTCATTGATTTTGAAGGCTTTTTCAGTCTTGACAGAGGTAGAAGCTGGTCTCTTCCAGATAAAACCACTAGATGGCATTCCAGAAGAGGACTTTGCTAAGGTTAACAAACACAATTTTCACATGAGAAATATTAAAAGATTACAGACTTGAATGAGGGCGAACGGTGTCACATGAGTAATGAAAATTAAATGGGTTTAGGTAATAAGTATTGAGCTGACCTGAGAGGAATCAAAATAAAAGACCCCCCGAAGCCTAGTATGAATGATATTGTCATGAAATGATGGAGGTGGGGAGGAAGGAAAGTTGCCCAAATATGGTGACAACTACTGGAATTTTGTTTACTCTTTCATAACTCAGACATTCGCTGAAGTTTTTTCTTTCTCAGTTATTTTCTCTACTTCTAAAGACATATTTGTCATGTGACTTAAAACAGCTCTCCTGTAAGCTCATGAATTCTGCTTCAGGAGGTTTTTTTCATGGCCCACTGCTGCTGAAATTTGATATCTGGTCTTTTAAAACAGTTTTACTGCTAAAAGTGCTCTCTCATCTTCTCCTTTTAACAAGTGCACCTATACATACTCAATACAGACCCTGATTTATTCCAAGATGAATTTGCTAGCAAGGCATAATTTGAAGACTAATGATTTTGCTTGATTTTTCTCCTTTAACTGTTGGAAATACACGATGATGCAAAAGATTTTATCATTATCTGTTGTAATGTGGTAAGGTAACTCACTGCAAGCTCTAGAGTTAACAAACTTTAGATCTTTAAAACACTTTGAGATCATCTAATTGAAGTCGTCATGTGAGTGAAAAATCACCTTATATCCAAGGATCGGACCTAATAGAGACAGAGCCTGTTAAACCAGAAAAACAACTTTCCCACTGCCAGGTAGCAGCAGTACCGAGGTTTCTGTCATTCCTAACCTGCCATCTGTGCTGCTTAACCTATCCTGAGTGGCTGTGTTCTGAACGTGACACCATGTTAATCTTTGGCATAATTTCTGACAATGTTCAAAGGAAGATGAGTGAAAGCTGCTTTTTTAAAAGTTTATTTTATCATTTACAGCTTATTTTATTATTTACAGCTTACATGATACTTCATTAGAAAAAAATGAAAAATCATTGCAGCTTGAAAATGAGGTTGAATGTTTAACACAGTCGACTATTTAATAGTGAAAAAGTGACAGAAATGACAGTATCTTTCTATAGGATTAATGCTAATCCTATTCTAGCCTGAGTTCAAGTTCACGTTTTAGAAAAAAGACAATTAGGCAGTAGTAATGGGATCTCAGTAGTCCTTTTGATGGGAAGCAGGCCCATGTTCAGGTGCCTAACAATGTGAAACAAGGTAACAGTGATCATGGTATTGAGTATGGATATAACATCAATGCCTGCTGAAATACTTTTTTTCAGGATTCTCCCAGAATTGCAACACAGAACTGTATATTTCACCTCTGAAACAGTTGTGTGAAGTGACTGTGTCCCCTCAGTTTTCCTGTAGCATGCTGAAACATTTGCAAGAGTTGTGTCAGAAGTGGCACCTCAAACACTAGGAAATTCAGTTTCATATTGTTTTGATTCTGGTTTAAGTGTCTTTAATTTCCAGTTAAGAGCCTTAGTCCTCACACCACAGACCTTCCAGGGTAGAACACCACTCTTAGGCTGAACCCATCTCACAGGCAGGTGCTGCCACACGCTGCTGGGAAGTGATGGTGTAGTGGAAGGGCTGGCAACATTCAAATACAACCTTTCATGATATCCAGGAAACAGTTCTGGGGGTCAGTACAACTTCTGCTACTATCTACAGTATAAGCTGCAAGGAAAAAGCGTGTTTTCAAGCATTAATCCTGCTATCTGGTAAGAGCTCATCACCATCCTGCCCTCCCTCGGTCACAGCGCAGCCATGGCCCCTGTGTGGGTGTGTCGGCATTGGAGCCGCTCCCAGCCACCAGCGCGGGCTGCCGCAGGTGCTGCAGGGCCGCCAGGCACCGCTTCCCTTTCCCTGTCTTTCCGGCACCCTCGTCCCCGGGCCGTGTGCGATCAGCACGGGCCGGGCCCGCCCCGCTGTGCTCAGGCTCCGGTGCGCGGGTTGCTGTGGATACCGCGCCGCCGCCGCGGGAGCCGCGCCCGCCCGGGGCGCCGCCGGGGCTGGAGGTGCTGCGGGGCCGCGGGATGTCCTGCGAGGCCGGGGGGGCAGTGGCGGGAGCGGGGTCGGGAGGGTTTGTGGGGGTCCCACCCGTGCGCCGAGCGGCGGCCGCAACCCTTGCCCCGAGCGCCCCGGGCCAAGGGCCGCCCGCGCGGTTGGTTGGGCATCACCCGACAGCTCCTGCCGGGAGCTGCGTCCCCGTTGGTGCCGGGGTTTTTTTGGTTTGGTGTTTGTTTGTTTGTTTGTTTGTTTTCTTTTCAAGAATATGGGTTTAGGATTCTTCCAGCCTGTGTCATTTCAGTGGCAGCTCAGGAAACCTTAGAGGTGTGCTGTCTCTGGGTAATGCCCCCCTGGACAGTCCTGTTATACAGGTAGAGAGCGAGAGATAAACACAACGAACTGTGCTGACTGCCTGCCTCGGAGTATTACGTTTGATAAACACCTGCCAGAAGCGCTTTCTGTTTGGTGGAAGCAAAGACCTAATGCTGTTCTCAATAGCTCTTTGGGAATACATACAGGAAAAGTTTTTCAGGATATTAAGTTACCTGTAAACCTGGTAGTAGAAATGGGCTAGTATCTAATTTTTAATAGATCCTGTAATTATTCTTGCAGAAGGTTAAACTGTGCAACCAATTCTTTAGGAAATGGAAGATGCGAGTGATAGTTGCTTTGAAGTTCCACCAGAAGGCTCAGGTGCAGAGCAACCACCTGCATCCTCACAGGGAAATGCAGTCGGAGAGGCCGAGAAGCCTCTGCTTCCAGAATCTTCAGGCCCTGTACAGTCAGAGGAGGGCTGCGATCAGATGCCTCCTCAGGAGCAGTCAATTTTGGAGGAACAGAAGCAGTCAAGTTTAGCACAGTGGGAACAACCTGAAGAAGTGCAGAGGGAAGAACAAACTTCTCAAAACTCAGCGCTACCAGAGAATACAGCAAGTGGGACAGTAACAGGTAAAGAAGTTATTAAAATGTTGGACATTAGGGCTTTAAAGAGATATTTTTTCTTCAATTTGATTATGGCTTCTTGCACCCCCCTACCCTCATTCTGTTCATATTTGCTGGGTTTTGGCCCTGAAGTGACTTTTTAAATTCTCATATAAAACATACTCCAAAGGTAAGGAATGTATTCTTTATATCAAGCTACAGTAGCAATTTATAGATGGCATTTTATAGAATGATCCTTATTTCCAGAAACGTGTATGTGTTTACACGTTTTGTACATGCATTTAAACAGTTTAAACTAGATCATAGCAATCACTTACTATTTTTCCTCTCAGATTCCTCTGTAACTTACCTGCCACTCTTCTGTTGTCCATGCCTTTCCTCTGCAGTCCCCTAAATGCTCTGTCATTTCCTGCACCTGTTCCTCTGTGTTCTGGATGTCTTTTGTCACTTCCTCTTCCCAATTCAGCACCCCATTTTCTTAGTTCTTCAGAGCAGAAGGCAGCACATTCTGTTCAGCAGGTGAGCACAGTGAATAATCTTGCGGAGTATGGACCTGTTGACTGTCTTCTTCTTGTCTGGGCTCCATTCAGATGCTGTCGTTCTGAATAGTTGGCTTGGAATGACTTTATGTGGTGATAGCATTACATTATTTATCTCTTTTAAAATTGTATGATAATATTGCTTCAGCTTTCAAGTAGACTGTCTTTCCAGCTCAAAAAACTATGATTATTCTATGTTGTGGTGTTTCAATAAAATCATCCTGGGGTAAACTAGGAGTGATTTTACGTGTTTGTTTTGAGAAGCTGATCAGGAATTAATTTTGGTTTTATTTTTAGAAAACATGACTGAGGATAATGAAACAATTAGAAGGACTGGGCCTAACTTTGAGAAAACTATGCAGTCTGAGAATCAGGAACATTTTCCTGGGAAAGTCGTTCAACAGGATTACCACATGCCTGATGTCATAACTGTCAGAGTACAAACAGGTAAATGCTGGTTTTGCACATGTATTGATGTATAAATTCTGCTCTAATCTCAATGTGTTACTAAAAGAAACAGTATTTCTATTTTGGAACTTCCGTTTTAACAGATTCTGATTCATTCCAAGAAGTAGTTGTAAAAATTGAAAGACCTACCTATAATAAACCTTTTCTGGGTGGATTTAGGAACATGAGAACAGGAGTGGAATTTCATAACGCAGGATCACAAACAAGATGCAAAAAACGACCTAACAAAGGAACTCAGTCATTTTGTAGGGAAACACAGGTAATGGTTTTGTATTTTCTTTTTAGAATGTTGGTTTTGACACTATTTCTGATAGGAAAGAGGAAGCAGATCAGAAATAAGCATGCAAATGGAAGTATTTAGTGGATTAATATTAGTGTTGTGATTCCTATTAAAAAAGCTAATTTTGCCACTTTTTGTAATGAGGCAAAAAAATCTCTGTGTATTTTCTTATAATCTGACATGCATTTTTTCCCCAGACGGTTTGGGAAAAAAATAAGCCACAACAAACAAGAAATACAACATCAACACAGATGACTAAAATTGGCCTTTATGTGTCAAACATGACTGACAAACTAATAAGTCCTGGAAAGTATTTTACAGCGGAAGAATATCATAAACGTAGACTTGAAGCAGTAAGTCCTTATCTGTTTGAAACTATCTGTAAAGCAATGTATTACAAAGGTTATCTGAATATTTAAAGAGTATTTAGAGTGTTCAAAGATTGTGAAGTCAACTGTAAAATGTCTCATCTTCATGTTTTGAAATATTTTAGATATGGGGAAAGCCTGTGTTTGCTCAGTGGTTTTAGTGACATTTGACACCTTGTGACTTCTTAAATATTAAGAATTCTGAATTTATTGTTTTCTGTATTACACTGAGAGTTAAGTTTCCATGTAGAATATTAGGGATTAAACAGGCATATCCCTACAATATTCTCACGATCTCTTTGGAAGAACCTAAGGTACTTGCTTAATGTATGGCCTGAAATGGATGGAGTATTGGGTTAGGATTTATGAGATCTGCATCCAGCTTTTGGGTTTTGTGTTCTCTGTTTGTTTGTTTGTTTGTTTGTTTTTTTGTTTAACAGTCTTGGTAGGTTACCTTGGACAAACTGATCCATTTTGGATTCTGTTCAAGGTCCTTTCTTTGACATTAAGGTAGAACTGGGCTGTTCAAATACATGCAGTGGGTCTATGGGGTTTTCTAGTGCGCTGAGGTGCCTCGTGCAGGTGATTCTGATTACAGATTCTGTATATTCATTGTGCAGAGGATGCCATTTAGGCATTCTGAATTGCTTTTTGGAAACCATGTGTTCAGTGACTGCACATGTAACTCAGGTACGCTCTAAATTGTGCTAGCTGTGACACTGCTTTGTAAATGCTCTAGTTATTTATTTGATTGCTTAAAATAGGCAGTCTGAATCTAACTGAATGGACTAACGGTTGATTCCCCAAGTGTCTAAGTAGGATAGTTGTATTGATAATTGTATTGAACATGGTTGCCAAGATCTTTGAAATATTCTGGGTAGAAGTTTTCTGTAAGAACTTCTTGAATCAGTCAGCATCAGCTGATGGCAAATAAGCATCTTGTAGAACTCAAATAGGTAACCATTTCCTCAGGATTGCCAATATGTCTTACTACGATCTTAAGTGACACTTACTGAAATCTGGAATGTATCTCTCAAGTAATTTATAATGCACAGTAGAGAGACATCAGCTTGGTGTTGGTTCAAGTTGATGGATTTGCACAGTGCAATGTAGGTCCATATTGAAATCTGAAGACATATTCAAGAGAAGTGTTAGGTTAAGATATCACTAGAGACAGTGTAACTGCATTAGTATAATTTTGTGCCTGTTAGCTTTCATGCTATAGCTCATGGTATTGATCTGACTAAACTGACTGTAGTGCAAGTGCTAACTCAGCTGGCAGACGGTGAGGCTTGTGCATTATCCTCCCTTGACACAGTGTAGATATTTCCCTAGTCTTCAATACCCAAAGCTTCGGAAGGTAGATGATTTAATTTTCTTTCTTAAGTTTTGTCATAACAGCATTAGTAATTTCACTTTCATTATTTGTTTACAAATAAAATGCAGTTGATTTTATTTCTGTGTGTGTTGATTTTTGTATCTAAGAATCTAAAAGAAACTTTGCAAATATGTGTCTACATTCGCACTATGTAAATTGATAGTAAGATGAGGAAGAGAAAAAAATAAAAGCAATACATGACAAAAGACATTTTTTAAGGGGAGATTTGAAAAAGAAAAATGGATATTTAAATGTAGTTTATATTTTGACTTGATTTTATGAACCTAGTTTATCCACTGTATTCACTGGTTAGACTCTGGCAGTTACCTAAATGAGTTAGCATGCTGGTGCTTAAACTAGTAGTACATGACTGATTTAGTAACATTTATATTAGTTTCAGTACAAGACAAATCTTAGAAAATGTAGTTAGGCATCTACAAAAAAACGCAAACAGTTAAGAACAAAATACTATGCTGTTTTGTTTTAAATTCACGATTCTTTGGTATTGTATCACATATAGGTAATAGTATTACAGAAATATTTCCGTCGTTGGCATGCTATAAATGTGGTACAAAATCTGAGGGAACAGAAGAGGTTAAGGCTGCTGTGGGAGGCACATGAAGAATTACGGAAAAAAAATGAGAAAGAAGAAAAACTGAGAAGGGAGTACGAGCGAAAACTGAACCCTAAAACAAAGGAAGACTTTGAGCTACTGTACCATGACTTGGAATGTAAGTTGTCTTAAAGAGATATCATTAAATCAGCAAAATAGTACAGTTTGTTTACAGCAAACTTATGTTTTTACATGTTCTATAGATATTTCCTTGATGTTTTTTCCACTTACAGTGAAATTTCTTTAATTTTAAAATAATTATTTTATTTTCATATTTTACTAGAAACATAAAAAAGGCCTTGATGCTATGTAAGCACTGTTCAGCAATAACTAAACATCCTTGTGTTATTAACAACCAGAGCATAGCACCTTACAAGCTACTATGAAGAAAATTAACTCTATTCCAGCCAAAACCAGTACAACTTTTTAGGAAACAATCAGCTTGTAGAATAGTGCTATTTGGCAGTTTTATTAATTTTTTTTAAATTTATGTCTATTGCTAAGGTCGGCTGGAGGAACAGAAGTTGTTTTTTTAGATCAGACTTCATTGGTCTTTTACTGTACGTTTAAGATGCTAAAAACAATTCCATGAAGAAATTAGTATTAAGATCCATAATTCATCATTTGATATAGACAGTTTTTATAATGGATTAAATTTTTGCACAGCATTTTACAACATATGTCAGAAGTTATTCCTTTTGTCCTAGTCATCTTCTACTGATGCTTTTTCTCCTCTCTAATTCATTCCACATTTCACATAACTGTGTTGTCAAAATTTTAAAAATCTCTTAGGAGTCCTACAGGACATCCTAAAAGTCATATTTTTCCTGTTCCTGTAGTAGATGTCTAATACAGGCAAGTACCTCTAAACTTTTCCAGAAAAAAATAATGTGAATGCTGCAGATAATTGATATAAAGCCTTACAGGAAACTAGTGTTGCAAATCGAACAAAAAACTGAGAGTATCTCCTTTTGGAAAAATAAAAACAATCTAAAGCAGTAGACTTGTACCAATCTATAATGAAATGGCAAAATTTTTGTTTTTTACAATGTCTCTTATGAAGCAAGAGTCTTGCACTGTGACTTGTAACAACTCATATTATCTAGGCTACAGTGCTTGCTTATGGTCTAGCTCTTTGACAGTTTGGTTACTGTTGTCCCTGTAGCAGAACTGATTACCTACTTCGTTGCAAAGCCACCTGCCCTACCTTAAACCATCTCAGCTATTTCTTCAGTGTTACACTGAGCATAAATTTGATGGCATGTGTTATTCATAGAGCTTAAGATCACGATCCAAGAATTCCCAAGTTATACACTAATCTTTTAATGCTGTCATACTTTGTGTGGCATTGAACAAATTGTGTGGCTTTGTCTGAATGAATAAATGACTTATAAATATCACTGTTTGTGACAAATGTAAAAGTTACTGCTTGTCTTGAACTTTAGAATTGTAGGAATGAGATTTGTGTCTTGTTTGGGGTTGTTCCCCCCCTCCTTTTTCTTTGTAGATAGTTATTTTTTCACTTCACAAGAATCATGCCCTTTTAAAGGTGTGACTGACTAGATAGTCAAAAGACAAGTTACTCAAATAATAGTCTTTTTCGTACCACTTATACCAAGACTTAATATTTGGCATCTAATTTCCTGTAATATTTTCTTTGAAAAGCTGCTTTGTAGCTAGTGTGCTATCAGATGTATGATCCACTTTTTTTTTAAGTGTGAAGTGTTTTATTTGTAATAAAAACAGCAAAACTGATTTAAAGTTATGGAAGAGTGCTAATACTCACAAAATTTTTAGATTTGAAACTTACGGTTATATAAGTGTCTCTTGCTTAATGTAATGCCTTTGGATTCTCAAATAATAAAACTTTAACCAAAGCATACTCAGGAATTTCATATCTAGGCAACCTGGAAAAACCATGTCCCACTTCAAAACAGAACAGAGCAAACTCCAGTATTTGAAATGTCTTTTTAACATTTTGTTAAAAGTAATGGTCTGGTATCAATCTTATTGTTTTGTTTTTGTTTACTGGCGTTGACTAGTTGCTTCTCTACATGGAGATTTGCAGTCATGCCCTTCATTTTAATAGAGCTTAATGGTTCTAGGAAGTTGGGATTTTTTTCCTACCTGCATTTGAAACTGCTTTTACGTTCTTATAGTGCCAACGGTCTACCCAAGCTAGATCACTGTGACGGTAATAGAATGAGACTGTTGTCCTCCAGGGATCTGTGAAGGTTATTGCTGCTGATCACAACAGGTGTACTATTACAGGGTCAGCCAGTACAAGCAATTCCTGGTGGTACAAAAACTTGCCTGATGACTGTATGGTGCAAATGAGATGTATCTATATATTCAGTTTGTCTGCATATGGGCATTCATTATTTTAAAAGTATGAACTACTTTGTTTTATAAAAACTGGAATAATAAGTAAAATGTAATGAGTAAAATCTCTACCTGTAGAACATGTAATCTAAGAGGAATATTTTAACTTGGTTGCATGTATGTGTGGAATCACGAGCTGAGTGTCGATGAGAACTGAGAGCTCCTTCATTTTTGAAAGTATAAAATTTCTTACTGTATTATTACCTCTACCTTTGAGGTTTCTGCCCCCTTCAGGCATAAAAAGCTTCATGTAAATTAATTCTATATAATGCTTTTCCTTGCTCAAATGGCTTTATTTGAAATAAAAATAACTGTTTATAAACTGAAATAAAAATATATTTTTGCATTCTCAGAACTTGTCAGACAGCTGTCATATTAATACCGCAACTTGGAGAGCCTAAAGGAAATGATTTGAAATATTTGAAATTGGAAAATGTAAGGTATTGTAGACAAGAAAGGCACAGGCAGAAAATAAGCCTTCCTCCTTTCCCTCATCCTGCCTCTAATCTTACCTGATCCAGGATGTTGTAGGCTTCTTCAGTGCACCACATGTTGGTTTGTTTCATTTTATGCCACGTTTTGCTTTTGCATAACTGTTCTGGGATGATAGAGACACTTTGAGATATTATTCAGAAATGTTGATGTTTTAGACTGTAGAAAATTCCTCACAAAACTCCAGAGATATTTGAACAGGATCAGGCTCTTCAGAGAAGCCAAGAATTGTTACAACACAAGCAAAGGTAGACTCTATTCAGTAAACACGGTTTGGTTTTACTAACAGATTTCTCTAAGGCTGTGTTGTCTGTGTATCAGCAGCGTAAGTGTCAGAAGGCCAGATTCTTATACAGCATGTACTGATCCGTGTGCTGCTGTCATGACCATCCTGTGGCTCCCATGCCACTTCTCACCACACTTGAAGGGTTATGTTGTAGAAGAGGAAAGGGAGAGTAAAGCCATGACTGTCTAATAATTATTGCGCATCCATTGGATGGCAAAAGGTGATACCACTGCAATATTCAGTGTAAGACCTGGAGGGCTAAATGTGACTGTCAGTCAAGTTTTATCTCAGTTTTGAAGGACTTTAAGCTTCTTTAGATTTTACTCATTTATGCAGGGAGAAGCAGGAATATTCTCAGCACTGAGTACTAGTGGTGCCACAGTAAGATACAGTCTTTAATTTGTTGAGATTTCCATAGTACCTTTACTTGTGATTTTGATGAGAAATTGTTTAAAAAGTTCATATTGCTCATACCTTTTGGAGCTGTCTGAGTCTTAAACAGTTATTTTTAGATGCAAAATCTGAAGCAATCATTACATCACAGATTTCCACAGGAGCTAAATTCCTTTTCTCACACAGAGCTTCTTTTTCTCCTACCCGTCCTTGAGTTTGGAATTGGCAGTCTGGAATTGATGTACACACACATACTCTTACAGAACATCTGTATAATTTACATTCATTTCTGGGCCATTTTACATGTATTGAAAATATGCATAAGAATTACCTAGCATAGAAACTGGCTTTTAGTGAATATTAAAAAAAAATCAGTTATGTTATTTCTTAAATGTGAAAGCCGAAGTTTCACTGGAAAGTATCTTGTAACAAATACCTAGAATATTTGTGTCTGCAGTATGGATGCAGGAGGAGACTGAGCGGATTAACAGAACTCTTACTGGAGCTGAAAGAAAGGCAGCACTTTGTGCACTTCTGGAACAAGAGGCACAGCTCATTGCTTGCTTTGGGAGACACAAACTAAATGCCAATGAGGAGAATCAACACAAAGCAATACTGCACCTTCTGGATAAGGTCTGTCATTAGGCTGATAATTTTAGGCTGAACATAAAGAATACCAAGGTACAAGAACAGAAAATACACCTGCAAAGCACCAAAAGTAAATTTTGTAGGTTTTGATGGTTAATCATGTGAATGCTAATGTTACAAATATCCAAATTATTCATGTCAGTACAATTCAGTAAATTTCTTTTTCCAAGCTGAGAATTTTGTAGCTCTCTGACCGATTGAGGGATTAACAGTGCATCATTAAAACTGTTACCTATAAAAAATGTAAATAATAAATATAAAACTATAGCCCTGAATGGATGGATTTTATATTATGTAACTATTCTGCATAAAGAACATGATTCTGATGGTACTGCTAACAGCATTAAAGGCTCAAAGCCTAACAATTCAGCATGGTTAATTGGAAGTTAAAAACCATCAGGATCTTGCATACCATTCAATATTCTGTACTGTGTGCATTATAGTGCAGAAGGAAACTTATTAGCTTCTCTTTCAAAAATATTCAGTTTCACTAATCAAAAGTAATGACCAAGTATTTTTCTCACTGATGTGTTCTGTTCATTGCTCTCTATAATGGAAAGTTCACTATTAAATTAAAATTAAATGCAAATGTTTAAGTAAGTACTTGTAAAATTAAATTTTAACCCTGCAAAATGGATTAATATATTTTTTTTCTTCTTCCCTTGGAAATTTTATCCCTCGGGAAGTAAATTTGCCATTAATTTCCCAACTGAACACAGGCCTCTGGTCATGATGTCTGCCTTTAAAGAAAACATTTATTCTGTTTTCATGTACAAAGAACTTTGACTCATTCTTATATTGAACTCAGTTATTAATTCACTAGTTTCTGTTCCATTAGAACTCGAGATTTTGTTTTTGTATTATCTTGGGGATGATATTTCAGGCAAGTGTTCTTCAGGCTTTACTCTATAAAACAAATATAGGAATTCCTTTAGTCACAAAGTGGTTTAGTATGGCATTAGATTCAATGGCACCTTAATGTAAAATACAAAAAACCCAGTCCTTTTTAGGTAGATGTTCAGCAATCCATCTCCTCAGAAAAAAAGTAGTTTATTTTCTATCTGTTTCCATAGTATTGTGACGTGATTATGAAAATAAATACTGCAGCTGAAATGGGTTTTATCTGATTTTTTTTTTAAATTTTGACTATTTAATGAACAAATGTGAAAGTAATAATTTTATCCAAAAGAAACTTTTTTCATTCTTTTCATTACTGATGCCAGGGAACCATACTGTAAAAAGTGATGTGATAAAATCTGTTACATTTTTAATTATGAACAAATTGCTTATCTGAAAAGTTGATGGGATGTTACCAAGTTTATTGCTGTGGTGTGATTGCTTTCAAGAATGCAAAAAAACCCAGAAAACTAAATAGTTAGGAATGATATCAGAGCCTTGTTTCTACTACTTACAATATATTCTGTTTTCTTCAAAGAAAAAGAAGCCTGAAACAGTCAAAGCAAATACGTTTCTCTCTTAACTGACTCTCTGTCATTATTTTTCCCTTAAGGACTGCTTTCCAATGTCCTACCATATACAGTTTACTTCTAGTATATATTCTGACAAGTTGTACAGTTTTCTCACATCTAGAATCAGAATCAAAATGTTTTTCAGTACCAGAATCCTTAGTGACAGTTGATGTTTCCAGATTCAGGAGATACATCAGAGACAAGAAATGCTCCCTCTTTCCAAACAATGGACATATTTCTGAAGCACTACTAATTTATTTATTCATATTTAAAATTTAAAAATTATGTTTTTCATTAAAGATACTGTATTTTTTTTTTATTTTGAAAATCTAATGAGCTTCTGAACTACTACAACTTTTCATGTTTTTTTATCATGTCGGCTATAGGATGACAGTGTTGTTCTAAACTGCTAGATAGCAGCCTAACTCAGAAGTAGAAAAAATAATTTCTGCTTTGAAAAAAAAATACAATTTTGGAAATCTCAAAATTAAATGGCTCATTTGCTATGTCTGTGAAAGTACAATTGAAGCACTTTAAATTGCAGTATGAAGTTTATTGTTGGAGTGCTGGATTGTGGACTATTCAGTTATTTCTTTGATTTTTTGCTGATAATGTTAATCTGGACACTTGCCAGTTTAAAACTGAAATAACACCTTTCACATCTGAAGACTGCAAGCTGCAATAGCCAAGGTGATATGAAACTTGCTTCTCCATGGAAACCTTTGTTCCCTTCTTTGCTCCTTTAAGCATGTATCTCTGCAGGCGTGTGTGCTTTTACAAAGGTTGCTACTGGTTGTGTGTGCACTACATTCTAGGGGCTTCGCTTTATGCTGAGCTCGTTCTGCTTCAGGATTTGTACTTTGAAGAGAAAGTATTTGATTAAGCTTTTGTACAGCAATCATATTTCCTTAAAGGGATTTGTGTAATTATTAACTATCGCTCAGTTCATAACCTTCATGCTTTGTGCTGTTTCTGCACACATTCTGTGGATTCTTTTTATTTTACTTACCTTTTTCTCTCTGTGTCTCTGGTGATGTGTTTCTCTCCTCAGGCACTTTTTCTGCTTTCATGCATTGGCAGCAGAGTACAGTTATAGTAGCCTTGCTTTCTAAAGTAAAACAGATAACAGAATTATTGCAAATTTCACAGCACTGCCAGCAGACTAAAAGACAAGAAAAAGCTGGCAGATCTCAAAGTTTTAGTTTTTCTTGCATCACTCTTAGTACAGAAAAATAGTCCTGAAATCAGAGACCTTGTGATTCTTTCTGAAACATAGGAAATCTTCATATTAATGAGACCTCTGGGTTTTTTTTCAGTAAAAACCTGCATATTTTTTTATAGATTTTATTTTATATAATACCCAGCTATAATGAGATAGTAAGAAAAATTACAGAAGTTACAGATATATCTTCGAGGAATTAATTATCATAATATAATTGGTCTGTGTTAAAGATCATTTGCAGAGTAGGAGACCAAGACTGCTTACATATATTTGGGCTTGCAAATTTATCAGAAGAATCTAGTTTTGGGAACTATTTTCTAGGGTAAACTCTACCCTAGATTGTCCCTAACATAAGGAAATGACCTTTTTCTCTTACTATAAGTGATTTCATTGAAGAGGTTTAAATGTAGGTACTGAATTAACTGCTATGTGGAAAGCAGTGTTTTTTTCCCAGTCTAGCATACAAAGGAGTGACTGCAGGATAGACCTAAGTTGGTTGGAGTTTTCTTGTTTGCTTGGCTATGTGTGGGATGGGTTTTTTCTTTTAAAGAATTTCTAGCACTGCGCAAAGATAGTGAAACAAAGTAATGAAGTTACAGTAGAATGCTTCCTACTTATGACAGAGAGAAAATCGCATCTCTCTAGTTTTGCAGAAATTCAAAGATTTCATTAAGGAATTAAGAGTTGCTTTGTTTTTTCTTTTTAATATCTGGTTTTGCTATTGCGTTTCTTAGTCAGTTTTGGCTCTAAATTGTGACCTCTGATTAGCAATACCCCCATTAACTAGAGTTCTACCCCCACTGATAAATAATTATTTGTCAGTTATTCAGTGTTAAATCCTTTTTTCACTTATTTTGTCTTTCATTTGCTTACCTAACTTTATAATTTATTTATTTCAAAATGAGAAAAAGTCTATTTTGATTGTGGTGATGACTAATCATATCTGTTCTAACTATCTAATATTTATGGTGTTTTTATGATTTAGCACCATAGCAAGCCTATGTGATCAAAATAATGATTACATCAATGCTGGGGTCATATCCAGAAAACTACTAGTCATGTGAACACTTCATGAAGTGTTGCTGTTGTTAACTCACGCTGAGACTGCAAGGTGAAGTTCATGAGTGTTTGTGAACATTCAAGTTCCAAATATAGTGAAAGAGAATTATTAATACACAGAATGAGGTTTCAAATACCTGTCCCAATTAAGGAAAAGAAATGGAATTAGGTAATGATGGGGGGAGGGTTTTGAGAACTCTTTTTCTGTTGGAATAGGATACCTGTCTCCATACAGTATGGATACAGTGTGATTTGCAACCAAACCCAGTCTTCTGGAAAGAGGAGAATGGTTGGACTTTTCAAACAAATTGGGGCAGCTGACATCATGTAACTTCTCACTGTCTCTGAAAGTTAAAGATGTGCGAAGAGGTAATTGAAGCATAAGGTATATGGCATCTGGTTACATTCAGAAACAAGAAGCTAGGTGAAGTGTCTGATAAGCTGTAAACTCATACCTTGTCTTAGCTTTAACAAAGTCTGTGTCTTCTATCTGTCTCTGCAACTAGCATAAATAGAACAGTTCCCTGGAGATATTTTGTACTGCAGTAGACTCTAAGGTCTTAAATTTGCAATCTTTACACAGTCAACCGACCCATCGATTTTTACTGATAGTTTGGAGGGATTCATAACTGCCAGGTGAAGTATAAGAGCAAACATATTCTAACACTACTGTCAATAAATTCATTTTAAAGAGGTAGAGCATGTCCCTGTAGAAGAATATTATTTCCTTCTAATATACTGTAAGTCGAAATTTTCATGGCCTGCAGCTTCAAATAAAGTGTGCAATTGAATGCTTGCTCTGGTGGCAGAGGTACTGTATCAATATCGACACTAGAATTAGCCTTTTGCACTAATCAAGCATTAAGGTTAAGTCCTATTTGCTCTGATGAAACTTGATGTAACATAATGCACTTGTTCACCTGGTGGTCAGATTGTAATAGCTCAGTATTCTACTAATTGTTTCTGAAGTGTGCACAACCTAAGAGATGGAAAGCATATGATGGAAAAATCACTGAAATGGATACACAGGACACGCTCCGTGCCAGAGAACTACTTGAAATCTACCGCAGCATTAGCACGAAGGACATCCCAAAAGATGAGAGAACAGATGTGCTGTTAACACTCAGATGTACAGTGAAGGTATGTTTTATTTTTCTGTTTATGTTTAGCTTGAAGCTGTGCTTCCCAAGGATACTGTCACTTAATTATGTTGCTGCACAAGGGTGCCATGATGATTAGCTGGCAGCAAGAGAGCCTAGTGTACTGTCTGGCATGAGAGCATAATTTACATTCCAGATATACTCAGAATTTATATTTCACTTTGTTATGTGCACATTTTTCTTCAAGTCTGTTAGAATTTTAACCCTGTGGTTTTAGACTTTTTGGTATATTAATACATAATACAATTTTAGTACAAAGTTTAGTTTAATTGTTTATAGCAACCTTATGAGAATCGTGGCAGAAATGTATGTGGCTATTGCCATTTATTTTTTCTAAGTTTTTTGAAATGTCTGTTTAGAACCTTATCTCTGTTGGTTTGGATTATCAGTTTTAGGGGTGGCAAATACTGATTTTTGTCTTTTTCTCTTTCCCCCTTGTCCCCCACCCTCACTGGTGCTGCCAGTGTTCCAAATGAATTAGAAGTTGATTGGATTTCTTGTAATCTTTCATATTTGTTTTATTCATTTATTCACATACAAAGAGAATGAGTTTTAAGGCCCTTTTAGGATGATACCGTTGACATCAGACTAGAATAGAATACTGCTTCCTGGTCTTATTAAAACAAGCAAACATCTTGCTGTTTGCTTTAGTAGTACCAGTATTTGATCTAAAGTCAGTATGGCATTGGGAGCACTGCTGGTTTATGAACCCTTGCCCATCTTAATACAAGTCAATATTGCTGTAGTGAACAAGTGAATTTCTGTAAATTAGCACTTTCTTCTACCTGAGAAAAATTGAACTCATTTACCTCTTAACTCTCTCTGAAGAATCTCCTGAAAAGCATTTGAAATATTAAAATAACTAATTTCCAGGCATCCTCTCAAAGTCCCCCATGCCTTTCGTGTGGTGAATTTTTTTTTTTCCTGTGGCTTTTTTTTTTTTTAAACCATCTTCATTACACCTCCAAGCACATAAAAAAAGCTTCTTAGGGAGATACTTCTTTTGGCTTTTGGAGACTGAAAATTTTGCATGTATTGTATATCTCTGCTAAGCATTTTTCAGTGCCTCCATGCTTACAGTTCCTTACAGCTTTGGTATATATATACAGGCCTCTTAAAACAGCATCTGTAAGCATTCTTGCTTTTGTAGTGCTTCATATTAGTTTGATTGGAGATTGTTTCCCTGAGACATGAATGGGTTCTTCTGTGAACATGTTCTTGCATGAACATGCAGAGGTATGAATAGTAATGGGCATAGAATCCACAGTTTACTTTCATATATGCATTGAATTATTTTGTTTGTTTGCTTGCTTCTTTATTATTGTGAAATTTGTTTTCCTTTTTGTGTTTTTTTTTTCAGGAACATGAATGTAAATTAACACAGGAAATAGTGGAACTAATTGACAGGGAAATTGATCTTATATCAAGAGAGGTGAAAGAATGCAACTTAGAAGGACTGAGGAAAAGAATTTGTACATTATTTCTTCAGTATATTAAAATTCCAAAGGTTAACCCTAAAGTTGCTGGATTACTTAAGGTATTATCCCTGTTTTGCAGTGTGACATAGTGGCCATTGAAATAAGGAGAAGGGGGATGGAAAACATCAAAAGCTTTTTTATTTCACATTTTGCTGTGGAATTGGTGGAGGAATTCCTCAAGAACTAAAATATAGCAAGTACATAGGCTTCACACAAATAAGCTTAAATAGTCATACAGGAAGCATGGGGCATGGACACGGTTATAAGAACCTGACAAGTGGCTGCTACTACTGGGAAGACTCAGGAACTCTTGTGTCTGAAATAACAACCTGAAAGTTATGAATGGTAGATGTTATGGGATGGTATGGGTAAAATGTAATATCAAAGGGGTACCAATAGATAGAGCAATTCATGTTTCTTCCATTGGTCAAGGGGCATCAGCCCATGCTTCCAGGAGGGAGGAACATAGCCATCATCAAAGTGACGTCTAATGACTTGCACCTAAGCAAGAACTCTTACGGGCTTCTGTTGTACAATCAGTTGCTACTGTGTGAGAAGATGTAACTAGATTTGTGTGATTGTTTTTCTTTTCTGACTGCAGATTACAATGAAAAATATGATTCATTATCATATGTTGCTGCTTTATGTAGCAACACCTGTTCTGCACCTATCAGAAGAGGTGATGGTATCTTTGTGCAGAGGTTGATGGTATCTTAGGAGCATAGAATCTGTCAATAAACGTTAGTCAGAATTTAGAACCAACTAACAGTTATTTTTATGCTAGGTTTATTAGCAGGGCTATCTATGTGTGTGATAGCAGAGACTGAAGATTATCAGACTACTTAGACTGTCCAGTTACAGGGTTGGTCCCTCTTCACAGACCTTATATTCTTTCCAGAACCCATGAAGGAATATGACAATGAGGAGGTCACTAACAAGTTTAGTTTATTATCTTCCCCTATGTTGTTTTAGGACATGTGGCTCTGATGATTTTGTATTCTTATGCAAAAATATTAATACACTCATAATCTCAGGGTTTTATCTTTGACATAAAAGGCAGATTGTACATGAAAAATTAAATGCAGAAAATGTAGTTTCTGTTTTTCTGTGTTGTCATCTTTCCAGAATGGCTGGCAATCTGCATACATAAAAGCGCCAGCAAGAACACTGGAGCGTGATGTTTAGGATCTTCATATAGCTTAAAAACGAATTGACTGATTTATATAACCGATTTTAACATGTACAATAAGAAAACACAGTGGCTTTTGGTATCCTATCTAAGAAAAAATCACAACACCTTGTTGGGTATTTTCAAAACTAAATATTACTAGCTGCTACATCTTAGAATACTTGCATGAAGATATGCAAAATGTATTCTGACAGACTGTGACACACAAGTAATACAAAGATACTTTGTGGTAAATTAACTTCTTTTTTTTTTAATTTTTAGGTTCCACAAGATCCTTTAAAGCTTTATAAAAATGTGTACTTCTGTCATAGCTGTGAAAATTACTTACCATCTACTGAGTTTCTTATTCCTGCTAATTCCCACACCATTGGCAGATGTCGCTTGTGTTACAAGCTTGATAATGAGGCTCGGCGAAGAGAATCATATTTGAAGTACAGACTTATTCTAGAAAATCTCAGGAAGTCTGAAGCTGATTATCAGGATGATAGTCAAATTGTTTTCTTAGTTCAGGTACTGTTGGAAAGAGCATTGCTAATAATGGAAAACAATGGCTTTGACTATTTGTCCTTTATTTGGTGTATGTTGTTGACAGTTTGAGAAATAGGCTAAAAGCTACAACTTCTTCCTGTGGTATGGGATGTTCCATACCATAAGGAAGCAGCCCTTAAGCTCTTGAAGAATAGCTGAAAGCTGAATTGCACCTCCTGAGCCCCATTATTTGGACTGTTTTAGTAACACAACTGAATTGTCGGAAAAAAAAAGTAAAGGAACTTAGGTTTTGACATTCCTGTTCTTTGTCAGTAGTTGGAAGTTTTGCTGTGTAGTTGGAAGTTTTGCTGTGTGCTTTCATTAGGGGATGGCTTCAGTAAATATTTTAATTTTCTGCATTTTTTACCATCTTCTGTAATATCTTTCAATGTGTAATAATCATTACTGGAACAGGTCCATTTAAAAAAAAATTCTTGCATCTATCTTCAGCAAAATCTCTATTTTAGTTGTTATTAGGTCAGCAAATGAATTTGACATCCAATATCCACTGAGAAAGTTTTGAATATTAGATATTTGCAAAGTATGAAAAATATTGAACAGCCAAGATTTATTTGAACTTTCTGAGATTTAGCAATAAAAATCTCTACAGTATCAACATCCATAGAATAATCTTTGAACTATATGTTCAGTATGTTCGAAAGAACAACCAAGCAATCAAAAGCCAGTCATCAATATCCCACTGCTACCAAAAAAAGCCATGCTGTGGTTTAGCACTTTGCCAATGTGCTGCCAAAAGAAAGCTTGGAATTTCTTAATTATCATGCCTGAGTTAAGAAATAGTCTCAAAAAAACCTGGATTTCGTAGATGTTTTCGTCCATACTGGTTTTCACCAAAGCTGAAGAGTTTTTTGTCTCTGTCTAATTTAGTTCATCTTAATATGTAAACATCCTTCAAAATCTCTCACGTCACTTGTGATGGCTGGTGGGTATTGATGCACTGAAACATGACTGCTTCTTAACTGCTGAGACCATAAGCCCTCACTTGCAGTTCCATTTGTGACTGTACCATTGCAACATCTCTAGATACTGTGTAATTTTCTTCCAAATTAACTTATTTTCTCTAGAATTGTAAGTATCTAAACAACAGAGGTTTGTAACTGAAATCACTGATTTCCTAGGTTTTTTCCTAACATTTTCTTAAATTATTAGATTTTCTTCTGAGCTACTTGCCTTTTTTCCCCTTCCCCTCCCAACAATCCCATCCCCTTCTGCACTTATATCCAGAACAGCTCTGGGGCACCTAGAAATGAATTGGGCACAGCTAAAACTCTTTTGCAGCAGCTGAGACTGCTTCATTCATTTTGCAGTGCAGCATCATTTAGAGATGATACAAGAAAAATGCAGCTGTTAGTTGCTACACCATTCTAAAAGTAGATGTGTATGTCTAGATGAAACATGCTTCTTCCTTCTTAACCCTCTTTTTCATTTCAGCTTACAGATCTGCAGTACATGATTGAGAATATATGGAACTGTCAGTCAGCTCTCAGTGCCTGGGGTGAACTGTATGATTTGGTTATGGTCAGATGGGATAAGCAGCATGAGTGGTCTCCATGGAACACTATTCTCCTCACTAAAGAAGAGGCAGATGCACATCTTAAGCTGTGTAATCTTCAGGAGGTAAAACTTGATGGGCTTGATTTTTTATGTTATTTATGTTATGTTTTAATAGAATCTTGTGACTAATTAGTTGGACCAAATTTAGTAATTACAGTTGTCTGTTTTTAGATTGGCTCATTGTGACTATTTAAGTGATTACATCTGTACTATTAAACAAAATGGACATCAATCCAGAAGGCATCTGGCATGTACCACTCACTCCATGCACATGAACTCTGTCTTGCCCTGATTCTCCCTCCTGTAATGCAAGAAGTAGTTTCATCCGTCCTGCCTACTGAGGACAGTGCCGTGCATATGCTCTTTCCTCAGATGAGATCAGACAACAGCTGGCCTGGATGAAAAGCAGAAAGACTAACCATAAATACTATGACAGTTGTGTGCCTGAGCTCTTGCACATGCTCTGGCCTCTTTAGTTTCTGGCCTTATAAGTTTCTCATCAAATAGCAGAATGGCTCTTTTTCTAGAACTTAACCATTTGTTGTCATAAAATTGATCTCAGTTTACTTTCTTACATAGATGTCACTTCAGTACCCCTGACAATGCAATCTTACAGTTTGCAATTAGGCAATAAAAGCATAGTTTCTCTTTTGAGTTAAAAAAACTCAATATGTTAGAATGTGTTAGTCATCATCAAAACTGTATTTTTACAGCAAATTCCATGTCTAAACATGGTAGTCCGTTAAGTATCTCACTCCATTGAAAATATATGTTAAGAGTATTTAGTTTTATAAGGCATGGGAGAATCCTGTGAGCTGTGTTTGTCCTGCAGTTAGCAATGGATTATTAAGGCTTTCACCTCTAGGTTATTGATTTATGTATGTAGAGATCTGTGGTCATTGTTGCCTAGTGTCCTTTTGTTCAGGGTGTTCTTCAATTTCTAATGCAATATGTGTGCATCAGAAATGCAGCTTCAGCTGTTATGCATTGCCCTTCTTTTTGGAAGTCTTAAGAGGATGTGATAACAAAACTGATAGAGCAAGTTAATTGCTCTCTTAATGAGTTGCTTTATGGATGAAATATATCAGTTAGGGAATTCTAAAGGTAAAGGGAATTCTGCCATCCATGGTATTTTGAGTGTGTGTGTGCCCAATTTGTGTCTTCAAGCAGACACGTTTATGTGAGCTTCAGCTTTAGAAGGTAAAACCAATTTGAAGCTGAAAATTCCTTTATTGCCTCCTCTGTCTCACTTTGAGACAATAAGGCTGTTCAGACAGTTTGAATCTATCAATGTTCCTCAGCATCCATAAATTTCTGTTACTAGCATTATGGCAGGCAGAGATGCTGATTAAGCACTTAGCTAGTTTAATGCCACAAGTCTGGATATCATAATCAAAGAGATGCCATTAACTTGATTAGGTCCTGAGCTTCAGTGGAGGTGGGAGTTAGGTCAGAACAGCAGCAGGTAGGGTACACAACCTTACCTAAAAATCATAAGGTATTTTCTTTAGCTCTTGTTACAAAAACAGAAGTGTGCCAGCTATAGTGAGGAGTCAACTTTCTTCACTGGTAATGACCAAATCTTTGTTTCAAATAAAACCCAAAACAACAGAGTGTGAAATAAGGAAATTGAAGCAAAGTTAGAGTGCTGTAAGTCAAACCATTGTTTCTCATTCACTGAAACAAAAATTTAGGCCTCTCAAGCACTTTCATTAATAGCAGTTATTGATAATGATGACTTTTGCAATAGCAAAGAGTTTTTTTAACTAAATGTTCTGGATTTATTACATCATCCAAACTACTGCTAATCACTAGAAATTTTGGGAAAATATCACCACTGCATGCAAACGCTGACTGAAATGCTGCAAAATGCTTGCTGCCATGATTATTTGTGGATAATGATTTTGATTCTTATCAGAGAGTTTCCCTATACTCATCACCTTGCAAATGTTGATATTTAAGCATTGCCTTATTTAATTTTCAAATGTAAGTACAAATGTTCTTACCTGAAAAAGAGAAATAAATAAATTTTATCTTGAATTGATAAAAAAAGTTGTTCTGGTTTTAAAAGATGACTAATATTTCACAAGGAGTGGTTAGTAATTGTCACTATTGGGCCATAAGATAGCAGTATAGAACTACAAAATAATTCATTATTTATCATATACAAATAAATTATCGGGTTTTGTTTATTAAAGGGTCACTATTTATACTGTCTAAAATATGAAGCAACATACAGATTTCTAGATATTTTAATTGTATTTGATGAGATTTGAATTTATTTTTCCTTTCAGGCTTATGAAGCTGCATTTATTTTCAGAATAAAACAGAAGCATATCCGGGCAAAAAACTACTTTGCTCAGATTCCAGCGATGTCATCATTTTTGCATAGGAGTGACAATCAGGCTAATGCAAGTTCCTACAAAACCCATAATTCTTCGATGAAGTCTACTGAAGTTAAAGAAGTTCACTAAATTATTAATACCATTTCTTAGGTTTTAAAGAAATACACATTTTCATCAATACTTTAAATATATTACAATGATCAAAATAAACTTTTGAGGATAAAATAATTTGATCTAGATGAGTTAATATAACTGCATTTCAAGTTTTGTAACCTCATTATTTAAGAAATGAAATGTTTATAATAAGCTTTGTAAATTCTAAATTTTTAGAGCAATGATTCTTTTTCTGTATGTGCCTGCGTTGCTTGGAACATTCTGTCTATAGTGTAATATACCTGTTGGGTGAATTCTGTTAGTTCTTTGTCACCCTTTAATTAGAAAAATAATACTGTAGCACTGTATTAAATTTATTTTTCTCGTCTTAAGTATGTAAGGCAGAAAACCCCTTGAACCCTGAATTCCAGCATGAGAACAGAATAGATATACTCTTGCAAATGTAGCTGCTTTGCCTGGCAAACATTTGTGCAAAAGAAAACTTTAATTTTTTAGCTCATCTGGATGGTCATAGTGGAACCGCCAGCATGTAATTATATTATGCAAGATCTTGAAATGATTGTTAATCATACTTATAATTTGAAGTGCACAATGCAGACTGTCTGGAACATGCTTATTTTTGAGGAGCTTGTGTTATTTGAAGAACTAAATTCCCTCCGTAAGTAAAAGTTTATGTGTATGTTTGATTATAGTTACAGAGAAAAACATAATATGCTGTAAATTCAAAAAGTCCTACAGAAAGTTGCAAGGTTCTGCTTGAAACCTCTATTTTAGAGATTATTTTGACCCAGTCTTTTGCTCTGACAAATGAAAGTGTTTAGGAAAAAGCAGTAACATTTGAAAACCGAAATAAGCATATATTTGGCAGCAAACAGCTGAAAACTGTATTGACTCCCTCAAAAGAACCTGAACTGTAGAACCAGTACTGGTCTGACTGTGAATTTTAACATCAGTGGAGCCTTTCCATTGATTTTACTATTAAATTCAGATTCTGAATTTTAGTTTAGTACTGAACTAGTTGTAGAATTGGAGCACATGATCATTACAGTGGACTTATGTGCTTTCCAAGATCTAAGCCTTAAGATAGGAATGGGTGCTAATACTGAGTTTCCTCCAGAGTGATAAAAAGAATTTTGAAGTAAATTATGGTTGAATGGCAGTAAAGAAAACATGAGTCTCATAGATAGTAATCTGCCTCTTTATAAATTTGTTACCTTTCTTATCAAACAGATTATAAAAAATGTACTTTACAACCCCAGCAGGATGATTTAAATAAACAGTAAGGAAATAGTTCCAACAAATGCGAAAAGCCAGTAGTCCATTGATTTCAATGCAATGTGGTGGTGGAGTTTTTTGGAATCATTTAGGTTGCAAGGACCTTTAAGACCAAGTTTAACCATTAACTTGACACTGCCAAGTCCACCACTAAACCATGTCTCCATGGTCTGCATCTATACATATTTTAAATATCTTCAGGGATTGTGACTCCACCACTTCCCTGGGCAACCTGTTCCAATGCTTCACAATTCTTTTGGTGAAGAAATTTTTCTTATTATCCGACCTATCCTCTGGTGCAACTTGAGGCCATTTCCTTTTGTCCCCCCAGACCTTTCACTAGCTTTGTTGTCCTTCTTTGGACAAGCTCCATCAACCTCAATCACTTTCTTGCAGTGAGGGGCTGTAGTGGGTTGACCCTGGCCAGATGCCAGGTACCCACTAAAACCACTCTCTCACACTCCCTCTGCAACTGGACAGAGGAGAGAAAAAAAAGCCAGCTAACAATTCATGAGTAGAGATAAGAGCTGGGAGAGGTCAGTGACTGATTACCTTCAGGGGCAAAACAGATTCAAAGTATAGTACTTATATTTATTACTAACAGGATAAGAGCCAAAGAGTGAGAAACGAAACAGTCTTAAAAACACCTTCCCCCCACCCCTTCTTCCTTCCATGTTCTCCCTCCTCCCCTCCAGTGGTGCGGGGGGATGGGGAATGGGGGTTATTGTCAGTTGTTGTTTCTGCCGCTGCTCAGGGAGAGGAGTCCTTCCCCTGCTCCCAGGGGGTCCCTCCCACGGGAGACAGTCCTTGATGGACCTCTCCGGCGTGAGTCCATCCCTTGGGCAGCAGCTCTTCCCAAACTGCTGTCCCGTGGATCACTCCTCCATGAGGTGCAGTCCTTCGTGAATGAGCTGTACCAGCGTGGGTCCCCCACGGGGGCCAGAGGTCCTACCTGGGAAAAACCTGCTCCAGCATGGCCTTCCCTCTCCATGGGCTGCAAGTCTCCAGCAGGACCCTGCTCCATCCTGGGCCTCTCACAGGGTCACAGCCTCCTTCATGCATCCACCTGCTCCAGCATTGGCTCTTCCGTGGGCTGCAGGTGGGTCTCTGTACCCCGATGGTCCTCCATGGGCTGCAGGGGCACAGCTGCTCCACCGTGGTCTGCACCATGGGCTGGAGGGGCCTCAGATCTGGCACCTGGAGCATCTCCTGCCCCTCCTTCTGACCTTGGTGTCTATGTTGTTATTCCCATGTTCTTACTCTGCTCTTCCCTGGCTGGAATTTCTTCTGTGCAACAACCTTCTGTTCTTAAAAATGTTATCACAGAGGTGTTACTATCACTCCTAATTGGCTCAGCCTTGGCCAGCGGCAGGAAGTCCTTCCTGGAGCCGGCTGGCATTGGCTCCATGGAACAGGGGAAGCTTCTAGCAGCTTTTAACAGAAGCCACCCCTGTAGCACCACACACCCCCCTCTACCAAAGCCCAGCCACAGAAACCCACTACAGAGGCCCAGAACCGTATTCGAGGTGCAGTTTAATACTGAGAAATATTCATGAGTGCCAAGTACAGGTGAACGATCACTGCCCTGGTCCTGCTGGCCACACTGTTTCTGATACAAGCCAGGATGGCTTTGGCCTTGGCCACCTGGGCACACTGCTGTCTCATGTTTAGTCCACTGTCAACCAGCACACTCAGTTCTTTTTCCACTGGGCTTCTTTCCAGCCACTCTTCCCCAAGCCTGTAGCTTTGCATGGGGGGTTGTTGTGACCCAAGTGCAGGACCTGGCACTACGTCTTGTTAATTCTCCTGCAGTTGGCCTTGACCCATTGATCCAGTCTGTCCAAATCTGTCTTCAGAGCGCTCCTACCCTCCAGCAGAACAACACTCCCATCCAACTTGGTGTTGTCTGCAAACTGACTGAGGGTGCCCTCAGTTCCTTGTCCAGATCATCAATAAAGACATTAAACAGGACTGGCCACAGTGCTGAGGCTTGGGAAACAGCACTTGTGACTGTCCACCGAGTGGATGTAACTCCATTCATCACCAGCATTTGGTAGTTCCTAACAATGGCAGTGCCATTTAATCACACTGTAAAAGCTCTTGTGTAAATAGTTAAAATTTGTTTGTAATTATAGTGAATTAGATACTTGACTAATATTTGAGACATGGCTGTCCGCAAAATAAGCGTCTGCCTGTATAAAGTGAATACTAACGTCCTACAAATCAGTTTCAAAAAATGCCTTTTGAAAGCATAGAAATTGACAGTTTTGGAGGATACAATGTATAGAAAGAGAGCTGTTGCAAAATGGAAAAGTATTTTCAATACTTTGGATATCTGAGTTCTCTTGCTAGGGCAAAGCCAAGTAAAGCCAACATAATTACAATAGTATAGCTTTTTAAAAAATGTATCATAATTCAAATCACTATAAAATCCTTCATGTTAGTTGTCTTTAATTGTTAATTTGGATCATTATAAATGCTTTATTGATATTGTTACTGAATTTAAAACCAATGATTTTTTTACCACTTTTTGTCCATAGCATTTATAATTGTATTGCATTTGAAAAGGAATTAATTTAAAACTTTTCTCCCATAGTTACTGAATTGCTTCCCCCCATTTATGTAGCTTATATATGATATTAAAATGGTACTGGAGAAGTATGAAGAATTAGTGTTCTCTGTATCAGACAATGGAGAATACTGGGAAAACTGACTGAAAAGATCAGAGGAAGAGTAAAGATACTAGAGTTTTAGGAGTAGTCATTGCATTTTATCAGGAAAAGAAAACTATTCAGATAAAAGGTCAGACCTGACAATTTCTAATAGAACTGATTAAATTCTTTACAAGCACAGTTGATCATCTTTGCTTGAATTTCAAAGAGTTACTCACAAGATGGTTTTAGGATCTGCTGGTAATAAGGCTTCTGCTTTGGAGCGTAGATACTTCCAGAATAATGAGAACAAATGACTGTAAAGTGTCAGTGCCTCTTCAAAGAAGAATAGACTGTGAGGTGAAATTCTAACCTTCTCCATTCACTGCTGATAAGTGGCTGAAGTGATAAGCTTATTAAGTCTCTTAAATCACAACTCAGAGGTTAAGCTTAGGAGGAATTCACACTCCTGAAACCCTCCTGAAAGGCTGGTGAGAGATGCTGTGTTTGATTCAGTTCTTTCCTGGAGAAAGACTCTCACTCCCAGGTAAAGGGGATTGGTCCATAAGGCCTGTATTGCTCCTTCTGCACTAGCAGAGACATGAGGCCCATCAACACCTACTGCTTTCCTCACAGGACTCTTGCGAGCAAGAGTTTTGGAACATGGAGCAAAATTTGCCTTCAACCCACCTCCAACACCACTGGCAATTCGTTTTCAGAGGGAAAAATTCTAGCTGTCTTCCCACATGCACGAGTGAGTAATATGGTAATTTGCAAGGAAACACATGCATTTTGCCTTCCCACTCCAAGAGGAAAAATGCTTTTTCCAGGATGTAAATCTCCCTATTTATGTCTCAAAGGAAGAAGAACTCAGAGTAATTGTTTCCCCCAGCTCCTTGCCCTAAAAAGATGTCCTAATGAACAAAATATTAGTTGCCTTCTTAGATAATAAAATTATTGTAAACAGTGATAAAGCAGGATTATAAATTAAATATGTCAGGGTAACACAAAGTTACCGACTTCTATTTGGCATATAGAAAATACTTTTTCAATAGGAAATGATACTAATAGTAACTGAGATTAAAAACAAAAAATCATCCAAATCTTGGATTCTTTTAAATATTATTTATTTTTTAAAGAGCCTAAATTTGAATATTAGGCTGAGAGAAGAATCTGAGCTGAGAGAAGAATCATAGAATCAACTGGGTTGGAAGGGACCTCTGAGATCATCAAGTCCAACCCTTGATCCATTACCACCATGGTTACTCGACCATGGCACTAAGTGCCACATCCAGGCACCATGGCACAAAAACCTCCAGGGATGGAGAATCCACCACTTCCCTGGACAGCCCATTCCAATGCCTGATTACTCTCTCTGTAAAGAATTTCTTCCTAATATCCAACCTAAACCTCCCCTGGCAGAGCTTAAGACCATGCCCTCTTGTCTTACTGATGGTTGCCTGGGAGAAGAGACCAACCCCCACCTGTCTACAACCTCCTTTCAGGGAGTTGTAGAGATTGATGAGGTCTCCACTGAGCCTCCCATTCTCCAGGCTGAACAGCCCCAGCTCCCTCAGCCTCTCCTCATAGGACTTGTGCTCCAGTCCCTTCACCAGCCTCATTGCTCTTCTCTGGACCTGCTCCAGCACCTCAATATCCTTCCTGAACTGAGGGGCCCAGAACTGGACACAGTACTCCAGATGTGGTCTCACCAGAAGTTCTTTAATATGCTACTGCAGTATCATGTTAGCTCCCAAATCTGTTGCTTAAGGATCAAATTTGCATGCAAAATGGATGGGACTTACTTTTGTCACCTGTGTATGCACAGTTCTCCTGGCTTATCTTGTACTGTCAATTGTCCTTGTTACAACAGTCACCCCTTATAGTCTGGTTTACAGGATTTACCTTCATCATTCACGCTTCTTTTTGAATCCAGATTTTTTACAGTAATCAAAAGTGGGTTTAGTTTCCTGCTCACAGATAAAAGAACCACTGTGATCTCATCTAATTACAATTAAATGAATGAAAGTAATGTTTTTTAAAATATCTTTGCAATAGGTATATTTTTTCTTATTGTTTAGCCAAAAAAACCCTTTAGGAGTGAAAAAAAAAGGAGAAAATATAAGCAGATACATTTGTGAGCTAAATTTACCAAGGGAGGTGAATTAAAATCCCACTCAATAGGTTCTCTTCATTGTTTTTTTCCAAAGCTTTATTCACTTCACTTGTTCCTAAACTGTGGTTTGTGGAGAAATACTAAAAAGGAAGTCAGTTTGTTTTTGGTTAAAAGTTTGTTCGTAAGTAATGTGGTAATCTGAGAGTAAACAATCTAGTTTTTTTTTCAACAAG